AGTTGGACTGGCCAAAGCCTCGGCTGCGGGAGAGAGAGCGCAGGGTGAGGGGTGGGCTCCTGCCAGGGGACCCCCTGACAGGGGGTGGGTGTGCTCAGACAGAAGGCTCATCTTGTTGCTAAACCTGATCTAAGAATATCTCATCTTGCCATAACCCCAGCGCTTTCCAGGATCATCCAGCACCACTGAGGAACTGAGCACAGTGCTGACCACACACCCCCACCCAGCCCTCTGCTGGCTCTGCACCCTCTGCAGGCTTCAAGCCTGTTGGGTTTTTTTTGCCAATTGAAGGCTTTCTGGTGACATTCCAGCACTGATGTAACCAGCAAAGGGCAGCAGAGGGCTGGGATAGGCTGCACAGCTGGGAAGTGCCGGGTTGGGAGCCAGGGAGACGCGGTGGGAATCGGTGGGACAGGTGCCGACCACACAGGCAAACAAACTGGCTCCTGCTCCCTGCTCCCAGCCAACGCCAGGAAAGGCTGTGTTGCCAAAGCTTTTCCCAACCTCCTCCCTCCTCAATGGTGGCTCTGAACCCGGCGGGATCCGTCCCTCCCTGCTGGGAGATGTCAGTCCCACTCGAGATGCTCCAGCTGCTGCTTCCAGCCCTCCCCAAAGGCCGTCGTACCTCCTCTGCTGCCGATAGCCTGACAGCTCCAGCAGGGATTTCCGAGGGAAAGACCGAAAGAGTTTCTGCACCTGCTGTTTCCATGACAGCAGCCGCTTCTTCTGGATCTCTGTAAACGCCTGGCCAAAAAAAAAAACATAACAAAAGAAGAGGAAAAAATAGGAAATGTGTGAATATTTTTCTGGACAAAGCGAGCAGGGACGAGTACGTGGTTGCGCTGTGAAGAAAAGCAGCTGGAGACACGAGTTGAGTCCCATCCAGAGGGAAAGTCTGCTCTCTCCTGAGGATTTAACTCATCTCAGGTGGAGGAAATGCTCCAGGAGTGTTCCCTGCATCCCAGAGGGATAGTCCAGCTCTGCTCCTGAGGCTGCCCAACCCCCTGGGCAGAGCAGGGCTTCCCAAAGCTTCCTGGTACCCCTCTGAGCTTCTGGGCTGTGAGCCCATCTCCCTTTGGGGTTTGATGGTTGGTCTCTGCTGGGTGGTGGTACTTGTCACCTGGACGTGGCTCCTGGGAAGGGTCACCCATGCAGGGGACCAACCCTCCTCCAAAACACCCTGGCACCCAGGCAGGCACTGTGGGTTACAGGGACATCAACATGCCCACCCCCACCAACTTTAGACACCAAACATCTCTGTGCCAATGGAGGACAATTTGGAGGCTAATTAGTGCCTGACTTGATTGCTCCAAAGCACCCTCTGGAGGATCCACTCTCTCCTGGTGCTGATGCAGATGGCTGGTCTTGGGACACAGGCTGGCACTGGCGGGGTGACCTTAGGTCACCATATCCCCCCTGGGGGCTGCTGGAAAACAAGCTCCCCTCTGCAGCTCTGCATCTTCCTGGCTTTGCTCTCCAGCCTCGGGCATCTGCTCCCACCAGCCTCACTCCTCTCTTCACATCTCTGTTCCCCCAGTGATGCTCTGTTTAGCCATCCAGAAAGTCCAGGCACCATTTCCAGGCTCCAAGAAAGCCATAACCATATCTCTGAACCTGTCCTGCAGCAAACCCCAACAGCAGGTGCCACCACCCCCAGTGTCACAGGGCCTGGTGACACTGCAGGCACTGCCAGCAAAACACCCCGAAACCCCACCAAGGGTCAGCAGAGGTTCCAAAAAAGACATTGTAGCACTTGCTTTTTGCATGCAACCCAACTCTTCCACCCCAACTCCAGATGCCCTGTGTTTGGCCTTGTAGAGCTGTGCACATCAAACCTTTACACAAACCCGGGGCATGGGTTTCAGGTGCCAGGTGGGGGGCTGTGAGCTGCCCCCCTCCTTTCCCCCATGTCTGCAGCACACGTTGGGGTCTGCAGCACATTTTGGGGTCTGCAGCCACCAGCCTTCTCCAGGGGAAATTCTTCTGTGCTTTGACAACTTATTTTTTTCTATAACCAAACAGCTGAGGAACGTTTAAAGCCTGCAGCTCCTAGGAGAGGCTGTGCAACCCCCCCTGTCCTCGGCCATATGGGCAGGTGATGAGAAGCAGCTTGTTCCTCCAGGTGCAGTAGGCACGGGGACAAAACCCTGCTGGACACTAGGAATGCCAGCCATCCCTCCCTGCCACCAGGCAGGAGCACACCAGAGCCCTGCCATCCCAAGCCATCACCTGCCACAGGCAGGTCCAGCAGGAGCAGAAGCAGATGCCCCTGCTGCAAAATCTCAAGATTGCTGTGAACCAGGAGGTGACAATCCCAGGGGATGAGATGCTCATCCTGGGATTTTTTCTTTCATCCAGCTGCTGATAAGGCTGTCACAAACCAGATGAATTTCCCAGCTCCAGGCCCTGGTACTTAAGGGAGGAACACCACTTCTATCTTGGAGCTACCATCCACTCCAGCCCTTTTCTGTCAGAATTACTATTAATACCCCAAAAAAATATTTGTGTTGGAAACCAAAAGGTTTACAACAACAGACGCTTTGGAAACAGTTTCTAAGTGATGAGAACAACAGTTTTATATGATCTGTCACGACTCACCTCATGGATTAGACATTTGTCTATGAGCTGTAAATAGGAACTTATATTCTCCTCGTCAGGGCGGGAAACTAGAAGTTGTGTGCACACTGGAACAAACAAGAGAAGAAACATGGGGAGACTGAGCTGTGATCTGAGGGGTCCAACAAATGCCTTGGATGTCCTTTTTCCCTTATGCCATGAGCAGGTCTTCTCATCAGGGAGAAGAAATGCCCTTCCCCAATTCCTGCCCCCCTGTCCTATATTTAGGACCAGATTTTCTTCTCCATTATGGTGGTGTAAATCCAGAGAACACCACTGGAGCCACCTAAAATCAGAGCTGAGCAAATAAGGGGTGCAGGATTATTCCCTCTTCCTGATTACAAGGCACCAAAGGCACCGCTGGCTCAGGCTCCTGCTCCCACAGCCAAAACCTGCCCCTGCTGCAAACTGATTCCCACCTTTCCTGATGGATTTAATTTGGGAATTAAAGACATCAAAGCAAGTGGAAATGAGTTCACAGGGAAACAAGTCTCTGCTCTTTTAAGCCCCAGGCAGGGATGCCTTGTGGTCCAGGACACCTCATCCTGGCAAGGCTTCTCTCCCACGTACAGCTTCATGCGTGATGGAGGCATTTATCACTGACCAAATTAATAAGTTCATTAAAATGGGGCCACAAACCCTCATCTGTCTGCACATGCAGTCAATCAGCTGGTGAGAAAATCTGCACCTACAACTTTTTATATGCAAAACATCTATTTTTTGCAAAAAAAAAAAAAAAGGTCTGAAATAGGGACAAGGCTGATATTTCCTTCCGGCATCCCAGGAAGTTTCTGCTCCAGGTCTCCTGTGTGAGCCTGTGGATGAGACTCCCTGCCCCTCTCCACTTCCCCAGGGAGATCTCCCTCCAGGCAGCCAGCACAGACACTTCAGCTGGGGGTTAGGACACATCCAAGCTCACACAGATGTGCTCCAAGAGCCCTGCACATGGCACAGGGTGTCTGTCCCACTCGCATCACTCCCGTGCACCTCCCAGGGCATTAATCGTGATGCAAAGCTGCGTATCCTGCACCAGGCATGGGATAGCACTGCAGTATTTTGCATGTCCACCTAAACTGGGGCTTTAAGAAGGGCTTGGACCTGGCCAACTTGCACTCAGGACAGCTTAGGCCAAGCCCATACACTAGTGCTACTCTCCCCCTCAAAGAAGTGCATGTCCCAGGGATGCTGCTGAAAATGTCTCTGGACTGGTGGGATGTTCCCAGGGCTCTGAAGGGGAAGGATGCTTTCCACCTGGGGCAGGCAGAGGATGCTATCTACCCTGACCCGGGGCAGGCAGCCTGTCCCCTTGCTGCCCACCTCCCCACCCACACTCTTACCATGGCATGGTGGGGGCCTCAAAAAATCATCCCACTCAAGGACTGTGGCTTGTAGGACCTCAGGGAAAAGCTGGTGCCAGCCTTGCCATCACACACACTCTGCCCCAAAGCAGGTGTCCCCAGCGAGGACACCAAGGAGAAGTGACAGCAGCTCACCTTTCCCCATCACTCTGGTGAACTGTCCTGGCAGGTCACCTTCAGGCAAAGGGGCCCCCCCAGACTCTCCCTCACATCCTGGCAAATGGTGCTGCTGCAGCCCCCCTGCTGCTGCCGAGTCCTTGCAGTCCGAGCCTTGGCTGTCAGAGCCCAGCAGGGAGGAGGGGTGATGTGAGTCAGCATCCCGGCTGTGCTCCTCCGTGCTGGAGTTTTGGGAAGAGTAGGCTTTGATGGGGGTGAGGATCATTTGGTGTAGCTCCTGCAGCGGGACACGTAAGTTGCCACCTTCCAGGATGTCCTGCGGGTGCAAGAGGTGAGAAAGAGGGTTTGTCTCTGCAGGGACAATGGGACATCAGCTACAAACCAGGCCCCTGCTGCCCCCCAGGCCACCCCCAGCAAAGCTGCTCCAGGACCCTGTCTCAGCTCCTGTTCAACCACTGTATTTCATTCATCCAGTCTTGTGGCTTCAAGCAGGGGAGCGTGGAGCTGCTGCTGCAGGGGCTGTGCCTGATCACTCATGGACGTGTTCAGACCTGAATCCTCTGACATAAACAAGCCCTGTGAACCCCTGGGGCCCAAAACCAGTGACAATCCAGCAACAGTGTCTCCAAATTTCCACAAGGGAGATGCAAACCCCATGAGAGTGACTGAGCCTAAGAGATTTCAGTGCCCAGACCAGCAAGTATCTTGCTCCTTCCCCAGCAATCCCACAAATTCTACATTTCAGCTCTAGTTACTGGGAATGACATTTTTTAACTGTGGGTTTGGCACCAGTTTCCAGCAACACCTTCAAGCTGGGCTCTCTGTAACTGCTCTGCCCCAAAGAGATTGCTGTAGCATCCTTATGCCCTGGGACCACTGCAGGACCAGGCAGGGATGCCCAGGAGCCCATCCTAGAGTAGGGAAGGGGGGATGTTCCCATCGACACTGTGGGGGAGAGGAAAGGGAGGTTTTCAAGGGTAACAGGATGGCTTGTGGTCAGAGACAGGAGGGGCAACCAAAGGCTGCAAGTGAAGTTTTATCCCTATAGCAAAAATCAACTTGGAGATGCTGGGAGAGGTCCACCTGGGAGGGGGAGGATTTTGGTACAACCCCTACCTTGTTCTTGGTAATAAGGTGGATCAAGAACTCCCCTTCCACAGCCAGATCCTCCACCCACTGATGGGAAATACTTGCATTTCTATTTTTTTTTTTCAGTGTAGCCTGGAGCAGAACAGCTCATCCTGAATGGTCTGGCGTGTGGGATGCTGCCTGGAGAGAGGCAGCTTTTGGGATGAGTCCTGGCTGTGCTCAGGCAAGAGACCCCAAGTGGGTGAACAGGCTGCGTGTGAGCCAGGTGAAGCACTGAAATGGTTTTTC